CTGTCTCTCTCTCTCTCTCTCTCTCTCTCTTCTCTCCCTCTCTAAAGCAGCCGCGGCGGCCATGGAAGCAGCAGCTGCTAAGGAAGAGAACCAGCAAGTCCTCAAAGTCCTCGAAGCTCTGAAACAAGCTTCTCACGATTTACACTCCAACCCTATTCCCAAATCCTCCGATTCTTCCAACTCCTCCGCCATTAAAGCTCTCCTCGAGCTCCAGACCGAGTCCAACTCAATCCTCTCCACCGACCCTTGCCTCTCCACCCTCTCTCATCACCTCACTTCCCTCAAATCCATCGTCGAATCCCTCGACAAATCCCGATCCCGACACGGCCTCCGATCCTTCCTCACTCGCCGAGTCACCACTCACGAGATTTCCCGAGTCGCCGTCTCTATCGAGTCCGAAATCCAAGCCTGGATCGACCGCGAGAGCATCGACAACCTCGTTCGAGCACTCAATCAATCATCTTCCTCAACCGACGATCAATCCCTAATTCAAATGTTGATCAATTTCGAAATTTAAATTTCCCAAGGTTTTTTTTTTTTTTTTTTTTTTTATTTTAATTTCTAATAGATAATGGATCAATCAACCTACTGCCCAGGATGCTATTGCTATTCCCCCTTCTACTATCCAAGACCCTATTGATAATCCTTCAAAACCACCTAAGGTGCGTGCAACGACATTATAACAGTGGCTACAAAGCATGGGGTGCTTAGCAAACGAACCAACTTGAGGAGAGTTGTTCCAGCATCTTTCACATTTTAATCAATGATCAAGATTTATTTATGGTATAACCCCAAAATAAGAAATTTAATTATACACTTTAGATTTAAAATTTTGAGTAAATTTCTACAGTTTTATATATATATATATATGGTGCAAAGTGAAGGTATGGCAAGTTAATAAATTTTCGTGGAGTGTATGGGATGGTTGGGAATATACCATCCTTGGCATGTTAACAAGAAAAGACTGTCAACTCATAATTATTTCTTTCATTCTATTAAAATTACCTTCCTTATATTATACAAGGATATACAATAATATTTCCAAAATAAAATTATTTCTTTCATTCTATTAAAACTACCTTCCTTATATTATACAAGGATATACAATAATATTTTCAAAATAAAAATACATTCCTTTCTTGTTGACTCAGCTTCATTGCCTATATATACATACATATTGCAATAGCTAATCCGTACAAGCAACCACTTTCTCATGCAAAAAAAAGAAAGACAAAACAATAGCAAGAGGATTCAAGGTTTTGATCTCCCAAATCGTCTCATCCTTCCAATTCTGCCGCTCCAAAAACCCTTCCAACTTCCCAGAAAATCCTGTCCCTTTATTCCTCCAACTCTACCCAAACCCCGTCTTCATTCACTGTCCACCGGCAACCCCACCCCCTTTCAAACCCCACCGCTCCTCCTTCAAGCACCACGTGTCCTCCATCTTCTCATCCGTCGGCTGTGGGTTCGGCACATAGTACACCTCTGAAGACGACCTCACCGAATCACCGAAATTCAAGTGGGACAAGACGTCACGTCACGAAAGCTACAAGAGGATAATACGTTGTGGTGGAGCTGTGGATGATGATATGGCAAACATTATACACTACTAGAAATGACTTTTTGCATCTATTTTTTTGCGATTGATTGTTTGGCCGTCGCAAAATATCACTTTTTACATCAAGATCTCATTTTAGTTGGAGATGGAGGAGTTGTAGATTTCGTGACGCGGCGTCTCGTCCCATTTGAATTCCGATGATTCGGTGAGGTCATTTTTAGAGGTGTACTGTTTGCTGAACCCATAGCCGACAGATGAGAAGATAGAGGACACGTGGCACTTGAAGGAGGAGTGGTGGGGTTTGAAAGGGGACGGGGTTACCAGCAGGCAGTCAATGAAGACAGGGTTTGGGGAGAGTTGGAGGAATGAAGGGACAAGATTTTCTGGGAAGTTGGTAGGATTTTTGGAGCGGCAGACTTGGAAGGATGAGATGATTTGGGAGATCAAAATCTTGAATCCTTTTGCCATTGTTTTGTCTTTCTTTTTTGTATGAGAAGGTGGTTGTGCAATATGTATATATAGGTAATGAAGATGAGTCAACAAGAAAGGAAAATATCATATTAAATATTTAATATTATTGTATATTTTTATTTTGGAAATATTATTGTATATCCTTATATAATATAAGGAAGGTAGTTTTAATAGAATGAATGAAATTATTATGAGTTGGCAGACTTTTCTTGTTAGCATGCCAACGATGGAATATTCCCAACCATCCCATACACTCCACGAAAATTTATTGACTTGCCATACCTTGACTTTGCACCATTTATATATATATATATATAATTGTAGAAATTTACTCAAAATTTTAAATCTAAAGTGTATGTTTAAATTTCTTATTTTGGGGCTATACCATTAATAAATCTTGATCATTGATTAAAATGTGAAAGATGCTAGAACAACTCTCCTCAAGTTGGTTCGTTTGCTAAGCACCCCATGCTTTGTAGCCACTATTATAATGTCGTTGCACGCACCTTAGGTGGTTTTGAAGGATTATCAATAGGGTCTTGGATAGTAGAAGGGGGAATAGCAATAGCATCCTGGGCAATAGGTTGATTGATCCATTATCTATTAGAAATAAAAAATAAATAAATAAAAAAAGAACCTCGTGAAAGATTGTATGAACAATTTAAAAGTAATGATACAAAAACACGACAAACTTTAACAAAAATCATAACATTTAAAAAATAATACACATTTTGATTTTTTTTCTTATTTTTAAAACCAATTCCTGAAAACTGAAAAAACAAAAAGCAAAAAACTCAAAGACTATTTTTAAAAAACTCATAACCCAACGAATAAATATATTTGATTTGTCTAAACCAATTACAAAAAATAAATGAAGTTCAATGTAATCATAAGTTGTAGCTCAATTTTATTAGAACTTGAACAAATGAGCAAAGATTCTACTTTCAATACCTTTAATTTGAATAAAGAACATATTAAACAGAACAATCAATATAAACTGAGACATTTTAAACCTTTAATATCTAACCATCTAAAAAATACAAGTCAACTTAAGTAATTAAATCTGTCTATTTGCTGGTCTAGTGCGTAGATCGAAAATACAAAAAAACCGAAAAATTAGCCTTTTACATCCAAAACAAGTTTTCTTCCCAAGTGAGTGATCAGATTAGGGGATTAGTAGATTCAACTTCCAATGTGGCAACATCCAATTACTTACAAACCAAAAATAAATAAATTGTTATTGGAAACTAAAAAATTTAGCACCATCATATTCAGTTCTCATGAAACAATAATCAAATGCATATATGATATGATATCATATTTTGGCATTGAAGGGTGGTTGTTGTGTTAATGACATAACAACAATTGTTGTCTTAATTTGAGGCTTATTGGCTTCGTTTGGGTTGGAAGGGTTGGGTTTGGGGCTATTTTAGACACAAAAAGACAAAATATGCTTTTTAACCCAATAAGACAAAACATCACATCCAATCCATAATCATTACATTTTTTTTCTGACAAAAAGTCAAAAAAATAAAAAAGTCCTTTCCAAACGAGACTTCAAAAAGCCAAAAAGTCAACCCACTTCCCAAACAAATCTAATGATTTATATGATTCAAACCAATATTTTGTAGGGTTCGTCAAGTACTTTAAGCATGTCAAAATTTATTTTAATCAAATATCAATAACCATACGATCGAATTATATTTATCACAAAAAAAATAAACAAAGTTTTTCTTTAGAGAAATATTATAAAAAATATGCAAACCGATCATGTAACTATCAATACCCGATCAACATAATTTTTGATATGCATGAAGTACTCGATGAACCTTACAAAATGAACAATTCAGATTATAAAAATAAGCCCATAATAAACCTTAAATTGAGGTGCATCAACAACCCCATACCTGTAAATTTGTATTAAATTTGTTTTGTTTGTGGTCCAGATTTGTAATGCATTCGGATTATAAAAGGCTTCACATGAGCGGATTGATAGTTTGGGCGAGGAGATGATATTAAAAAATAATCCGTTCGGCTTAGGGTGTTATCGGACGATCGGCTAATCGTTCGGCCAAGTGCAATTTTTTTATTTTTTTACTACATTTTGGGTAGTACATTTTGAACATTAATATTTAATTTTTTGTTAAGTAAAAACCATGATTTTTATTTATTTTATTATTTTATATAAAAATAATTTAATAATCTCCGCACTAACAACTATTATCAAAACAAATATAATTTTATTTAATCTTCTCACTATCAATTCTTTTCATTCTTTCTGAAAACAAATGGACCTTATAAGTTTAGAATTGATTATTAAATAATAATTTATAAGGGCACAAATTTAAAAAGTGTAAGATCATACTAAAATAAAAATTTAAATATAAGTAATATTTTAATATTTAAAAAAGTATAAATTATAAATACACTCTCTAAACTTTACTTAAAATACGAATTACCCTTTGTAGTTTGGAAAATTAGAAATACCCCTTGTCAGAATTTTTTATTTAATAGAATTAGTTGAAAAAAATTAAATTACTAACTGTTCACTTATACAATAATAAAATTATCTAAATTATTAATTGAAATAAAATTTTAACATTATTAAAAATTGTTAATTAACTTGATAATTTATTCATAAAATGACCTATTTGTTATGAAATTAGCAACCTTAAGGGCATAATGCAATTTCTAAAATCATAGGGATAATTTGTAATTTAAGTAAACCTCAGGAATGTGTTTGTAAGTTATCCAAAAAAAATAAATAAAATGGGATATGTAAAATTCAAAAAAAAAAAAATAAAAAGAGAAAAAAGTGTCGGGGATTTTTCAAGGTTAGGGAAACCCGAACCCCGTTAAGGGGTAGAGACGGGAGGTGATGGGTTCTCTACCGGGGATTGGAGGCGGGAACGAGAAATTTTGTACCTTTGGGGATTGGGGACAGGGAGTGTAATCCCCAGCCCCGCCCTGGCTTGTTGCCATTCCTAACCACCCATGGAGGTATCAGAATCCGCTCATGCGGAATTCAAACCGTTCCTACGGATTTCGGGTCTATCTAGAGTTTCATGCTCTTTTCCTCAAAACGAATATCAAAAATGTATTTGTACACTTTTTTACTTCTTTTTCTCTATATACTCATTTTTTCTCTCCATTCTCTCTACAAACACACCCAAATCTAAACTTCTCTCTAAAATTTAGCTAAAATCTTCAAGAATTTGAGAGGGCTTTTTACACCAAATCGTAGAGGGTGACAAGAGCTACGTTTACACCGATTGAATCGAGTTTTCTTTAATGTTATGATTACCATGTTGATGGATAAGTTGAGTAA